GCTCCTCTCCTACTCTTCCCGCTCCAGGAGGCATACCAAAACCATCGCAATTCCGCCCAGCCAACCCGGTGAAACTCAGCACATCGCGGTTTTAGTAACTCCTCAACTGGATTTGCATGAAAACGCCGTCATCCCCATTTGTATATGTTTGTGCGCATGCCTGTAATTGCGGTGCAGCAAATTCTCTATGTATTTTTTAGCGAGTTTTGCAGCTTTTCAAATGTAACGTGAAAAGATTCCGGTGCTCTCAACAGTGATGGCAATAACACTGTTCTTATCAGATCCAGAGAAATGTTCTCGATATTTGGAACTTCTGCCTTATATTTTTCAGCCGGTATTTGACTAATCAAAGATAATCAGAAATTGAGGCGAGCCTGTCTTGCTGCATGGAAAGAGCAGTATGGCAAATTTAAATAACAGTCGCCGGACCTGTTTACTCTTCACGTTTACAATCGTTTACGAGAATTATAAATAACCACCTGACAGGACTCCTCCATAAACAGTAACAAGGGAATAATCTAGATCAAAATGATGAAAATACAGCATAATTTGGCCAAACTTTCGTCCTAAATCAGCAACTGGGCTATGCAAAAGAGAATCAACTTCGTTTCTGTCGGCTGTTCATCGATTACGAAAAGCATTCGATAGCGAAGAGCTGAATGATACGCTGTGAGCTTTTGTAGCTAGAGAAATTGACGAGAGCAATGTGGAAATTGTTAAGAAAGCGGATGTAGGCGGTGCGAGATACATAACACTTTTTTTCTATTCCAATTTTTACATTGGTCAAGAAGGATGTGTGGCAACTCAATCATTTAAGCTTTTCACGGCTTGCCTCGAGGTGTTATTTCGAAAGTTAAATTGGAAAGGTTGTCTAAAAAAAAATGAAATAGGTGTAAGATGACTTCACCACAAAATGCCTTTGATTTATGGTAAGTGCACCTAAAAAGTCTGAAGGAACCAAAATTCAAGAAGTACAAAATTGTGCGGAGAAGGAGAAACTGAGGTTTTTAAGGGAGGTGGGAGTTTCTGCACTGAGGTTTTTCTCATAATTGTTTGTTCAGTATAACCTGAGCAATCTTTAAGAGGGATTTTGCAAGCAGTACAAGCAATTAAGTGGTTGGAGAAAAGCGAAAAACAGCACGGATCCAACTGATAGAAAATAAACATGCAAGCAAATTATGAAGTAGCGCTCGAATATCATACCCAAGAAGAATTTTACAGTGTTCACGAATGTGTTCCGAAAAGATGATTGCCATATACGGTGTGGAGCAACAGTAGATATTGTTCATTGTGTTGTAGTAAAAGAAGAAGGTCGAAGTCGACATATCTGTGTCGATAAAACCCCAGATCACGAATAAGAAGTAAGTGAAATCAATGGCGCAAACTGCAAACGAGTGCGCAAATAGCCGGCGGTCCTCCATTTTACGCCTGTAGCGATTCCTGAGTGCCCAAGCCGTAGTCTGTCGTGGTCCTTGGTGCTGAAATTTTCAGTATTCATTGAGAGGTGGGCATCCACAATGAGATAAACGGAATTCCTGAGAGCAGCTCTACTAAGAAAATTTCGTAGAGGAGAGCATTTTCAACAAAAAATTTTCGGAAGTGCACGCTGCTCAGTACTTTTTACATTTAGCTCGTTTTCGTTCTTCATTAATCAGTGAAGTGGTAAATAAATTTTTTAACAGTCTGTTTGCTGTTGTGATTTTCCAAAAGTATTTTTCAAAACGCGGTAGCACCATAAATTCTTGTGCAGAATCAGTTGAATGACGTTGGCGCATATTTTTGTAGTCGCATTTTTCGGGCTACAATTTTTTGTTTTGAATCATGGTTTTTGAAATCGCGTTTAATGCTCTTTTTACTACTCAAGACTACATTTTTTGAGAAAAGAGCGACAAAAAATAATTGTTTTAAAAGAAGCTAATTACCGCACGAAGTTTCAGCAAAATTGTCACAGAAACAATATGGCTTGCAATCAGAATCAGTATATAAGTAGTGTTTATCGCATAAGCCGCCAGAAAATAATTCTCCTTGAATTTGCAGTTGATGAACACAATGAAAAGCGATCTTCCTTCCACAATCCATTCATACTTCACCACAAACATCGGGGCGGCCAGCAACAATCCAGGAACAATTTGAATCAGAGGTACCCAGTACCGTGCTTTTTTGCTTGTCCATACCTGAAACTTGCCAACGATTGATTTTAAACGTGCTGACTGACAGCTAGGTTTCGCACCAGGAGCAGTAGTTGCATCTGCATTGCTTTGTCCGTATCTGGATGTGCTCTGTGGAAAGTTCTAGCATTTCCATTACATAATAAGAGATTTATTCTGATGACGCCAAGAAAATTGTTTTCGTCCATGACCTGTTTAATGGAAAAATTAGAAGCACATTTTTTCTAGAAAGCCAGCACTGTTTTGGGGCAAGTGAAAAATAGACTAATTTGTAAAACTTTTAGAAAATGTAACTACGGATGTTCTCTGTAGTCTGCCCAGCAGCGCTAGAAACTCGAAATCCAGCGCCTAGTTAACAGTGCAAAAAGATGTACTGAGAAAAATAGTGTTAACAATACGAGCTCTGAGACGCTGCTACGATCTCATGTG